TAGTTTCAAAGATATATAATCTGAACTGAACCAACCCCAAAACTACAACAGACTTCCTTTTGTGAACAAGCACATAGTTTATCCAAGAAACATCTACCTGTAGGAACACAATAACACATGATATCAACAAAAGAGTTGCTTGCATGAACAACACAACAGGAAGCACTTCTAGGCACTTATTGTCGACCAGCCTATGTAGCATGCTAAAATATAGCTTAAGAATAACTGAACAGTAAGAAAGCTTTAGTACTCCTGCATACATACTTAGGTACTTTCAGAGAAAAAAGCTACTATGCGCAAAGATCAGAACCGCAAAGTTGTTATATTCCTTTAGTTTTACCATACTGGACAGCAGCAGAATAAGTGTTTAAACATTTAGTAGTTAGCCACAAGTTTATATTTTTATAGACAAGACAATTTGCAGAATAAATCATACCATAACTTACTCAGATTTCATGCGTTGATGAGAGAATATATGTACAAGTTTAACATGAGAAATGCCCTTACATTTAGAATACCAAATATATCACCTTTCCATATCTTCAAAGAGCGATCTCTTCACGCCATTTGCATAACTCGGGAGCTAGTAAAACCTACAATCTTAACAAAGCAAATGAGAAATAAAATGTCGAAAATAGTCTGCTTGGTATGATTAGCGACTATTACTGAGAAAATAACTGCAAGAAAATGTCAAAAGCGCAAACTATATGTGATGAGCAATATATTAGCGGTGAACATGGAGTACTTAGTTTCATTTTGCATTAGGGAGTCAAGTATGATGCGAGAAACTAAACAAGTGGAAAGCATAGAAACACAAAAGGCGCAGAAGACCTGTCTAGCATAGAGCTCTTTTAGTTTTGATGGCTGCTACTAGTAGAATTTCATAGACCATAGAAAATAATTACTCATTTGTACTTAATGCAGACGAGACATAGCAATGTTCCGGGATCTTGCACGTGGAGGCAAGTTGATTCAACTAAGCTTGAATTGCCTAAGATTTGATATGATGAGGAAGGAAGTGCGTAAGTATGAACTCTATGCACACCAACAAACAGTGTTTTCAACCGGTGCCGGATGATGTAGGGTGTTGAGAGCACTTATTCGGCTTAGAGAAGTCTGAAGCTTACATTAAGTTTCTAGATTTCACATAGCAGATAAATTACATCGAAACTTAATAAAATATTTGTATCAAGCACTCCAAGACAAAATGAAACACACTGCAGTTATAAGAAACATATATGATAAAAAGAAGAAAAAAATTACTAGAAAGATTTGTTCTTCTACAACTACAGAACACTATCAAGCCATCAAGGTATATGAGCTAAAAATCGTTACTACGATATATTACAAAATTTTACACAATAGCTAGCTTGGGAAGAAGGAAGGGAGGGAGGGAGGGGCGGATCTGCGGTCCCCGAAAGAAGAAGGGAGGAGGGAGAAGCGGATCCACGGCCGCCGGGAAGAAGAAGGGGGGAGGGAGGGGCGGATCCATGGCCGCCTGTGGGGGAAGGAGAAGGGAGGGGCGGATCTGGGGAAGAAGAAGGGAGGGAGGGAGAGGCTAGATCCACGGCGGAAGAAGAAGGGGAGGAGGGAGGGAGGGGCGGATCATGGTGCTGCCGGCCAAGGGGAAGAAGGGAGGGCTAGATCCGGGGAAGAAGAAGGGGAGGGATGGGAGGGGAGGGAGGGCCGGATCCATGGTGTCGGAAGAAGAAGAAGGAGAGGGAGGGAGGGAGGGCCGGCCGCCGACGGAGAAGAAGAAGGGAGGAGGGAGGGCCAAGGTCGTGGTGGTGAAGAAGAAGGGAGGGAGGGGCTAAAAGGGAGGGAGGGGTGGGGTCTTTGGGGAGGGAGGAGGCGGGGGAAAGAAGGAGGATTTGGGGGAGGAGGGGCGGATTTTAGGGGCGGACGGTTTTTTTTTTCTATATTTTTTGGGTTTGCCGAGCGTTGTTTCTGGACACTCGGCAAACCTGCTTTTTTACCGAGTGTTTTTCTATGACACTCGGTAAACTTCCTGTTTGCCAAGTGTTTTTTGTTTGACACTCGGCAAACTACCCTCTTTGCCGAGTGTTTTTTTTACCGAGTGTTTTTAGTATAGCACCCGGTAAAGAATTTGTTTGCCGAGTGCCCGAAGAAATACACTCGGCAAACGTAAAAACACTCAGTAAATTTGACGTTTCCGGTAGTGATGGTTGTGACCTGGTGGAGTAAGCAACATAGCTCTCCTCGCAGCACTTTGCCATCCCTAGAACTTGCAAGTGTTTTGTGCTCTACTTGAGAAGGATTGCACCCCCGTATCATGGCATTCATGCTTTGGAGTTCATGTTTTGAATTGGTACCAAGTGCCTTTAAGTTTGTCCTTAACTTGGTATCAAGTGCTTTTGTGTATTCCCTTCCGTTAGTACTTTTTGAGTATGTTCTTCAATTGAAATATTTTTTACCTCTTCTTGATGATTGCACTGTCAACAAGGGATAAGAAAAGGGGCTGCACAAGTAGAGGGGGGGGGGTGTATTGCATTCATGTGCCATAAGAGGCCACAATTTGAGGTGGAGCATGCATCTTTTGCATCCGATTGTGTTGAACTTTTACCTCTTCTTGAGGAACCGGTGCTCTGTGCGATTTGTGCTTCGTTCATCGCCACGTTGGGCCTTTACCTCCTCTTGAGGAGCCAAGGATTATTTGTCCCCGTTTTGTCGAGCTGTTGCCCATGTCTTTGAGGACCGAATTTTTTTGGAGAGAGGATTTTCCTCAATTGGCTTCAATAACCTTTTTGTCAAGTGGTGTCAAGTGCTTTTATTGCCAAGTGGGGTTGTCTCATGCCAATTGGCTTTGATAACCTTTTTATTCTCCGGAAAAAACTGACGGTTCCATCTGACGCGAGAAAGATGCTGGAACTTTTTCGAAGCTGATGGCCGTGGGCGAGACCCTTGATGATTAGACTGGACGAAAAGTTATTTATGATAGAAATTTTGGTTTTTTAATATTAGGTATACATAAAAACAATATGCTATGTCAATAATACTTCATGTTAGCCTTATTGGAGTTGTTATCAAAGTTGTGGACAGCTCCGAGGTTGCCCATAAGCCATAAACCATAGGACACCCCTCTCACACACTAAGCAACGGTTGCCACGTGCTTTTTTGGTTTTGCTTAGATTATTTTGTTATTAAACGGTTCTAAATTGTATCTTCTGTGTTCTTAAACTCACTTGCAGAAAATAAGTCAGATTGTATCACGTGCGATTGATAACTAACACATCAGTGATGTATTTATTGCAAGGGTTTAAACTTTTTAATTGGAACCTTTATGATGACTAATGTTAGATATGTTCTTCTATAAGATCGTACCGAATTCTATTATTTGGTACACAAGCCATCCGATCAAATCGAACGGAAAAATAAACATCCGCGCCGAATTATCAACTCAAGGTCAACAACCCGTGGCCTCTCAGGCCCATGGATTGCTTTGCTGCGGAGCCCGTATACCAATCATCCGGCCTAACCAGCACTATCGGCCTTCTATCACGCATGGGCCCTTGTCCAGTTTGATGCCACATCCGGTCATCCGGGTTTTGGCGACGGCCGCAGCCTACTGGAAAGTCTTGTGAATTTTGGGCTGGAGAACTGGAGATTATTTGGCCTTTGATGTGGCGGCGGCGTGTTTTGTGTTTGCTGTGACTTGTGAGAAAGAGCAGAGAGAGGAGGGAGATGTCGTGGTGCCAGAGGGGCTGTGAGTGTCAATTCACGTCCTAGTGACCTAGTCCACGCTGGCAATGTGAGTTGACACGCAACATAAGCAAAAATAACATGAGATTAGGAAAACAGAGAATGGTCATCATAAAGATGACAAATCGTTAAATTATTATCTCCTAGATCTTTGACGTCGTGTTTAGCTCCCTGGCTGCAACAGTAGGCCCCGTGGATTGAGTGAGAAGCCGATTTTCAGGGGAGGCTAAGCCGGCAAGCTGATTTGTTGAGCGCTGTTTATTTGGTTGGTTTACGGAATTTGATAAGTCTAATTTGGTCTTTGGTTTGTTGTGAGAGAAAAGCACTTGTTGGTGATCGATAAGCTTTGATTTGAAATCAACGAAATAACATGCTTTGGTGAGAGAAAAATACTATAATTTTCGATAAACGCCGATAAGTTCAAATCTTCCAAGAAGAAAGAAGAAAAGGTCGTTTGGGCATACCGGTACACCAACAGCTTCTCGTCAGTCGTCACGGGCAATAGCAGTAGACCATGAGACCTGAGTAGCACGATGTTGGGGTGGCGCGGTGGCAGAGCCGCGGAGGTGTCCGAGCGTAGTCATGTGGTGATCCGCTCAAATCCCTTGCGGGTAACTCTGGGCATAATTAATCAAGACCGAAGAGAACCGAAAGAAGAAAAGGTCGTTTGGGCATACCGGTACACCAACAGCTTCTCGTCAGTCGTCACGGGCAATAGCAGTAGACCATGAGACCTAAAGAAGTATTTTGTGTGATGTTGGGGTGCTAGAACTTGCATAATAATGTGTGGTTTGTTTTATATATTGTGTTGTTATTTTTTTGCCTTCAAATAGCAAGCCGCGGAAAAGGTGATTCCGCGAGCGTAGTCAGGTTGTGGTGATCCGCTCAATTTCCTCGGTCCATTTTTTGCAGGCCAGTTTCGGTTGTTCGGTCTGACCGAATGCCCAGGGTGACTTGCAGGCCAGCAAGGTTGCGCGACAGCGACGCAGTTGGGACGAGGGAGGGAGCAACAGCAACCTGATCCACAAGCGCGCCGGGGACAAGCCGCCGGGACCCCGACGTGCGGCTCTCCCGGCGCCCCATCGATTTCCGTCGTCCCCACTCCCCTTTCCTGTTCCCTCGACGACGACACAATCTTCTCCGCTGGGTCGACGTCTCCCTTCACTCGTCGACTCTTAAACCCTCCCCGTCCCCCTCCCCCTTCCCGTCAGTTCCACGAGCTTCGGAGCACCACACCTATCAGCATCTCGTGCTTGCCTCCTACTCCTAGGTTCCTCCGCATGGCGCTGTCCGCCGCCTGCTCCATGGCCTCCGTCTCCCGGGCCCTCCGCCCGCGGCCGCGCGCCGCCGCCTGCTCGGCTGCTCGTCTCGGTACGCGCCTCCCTCGCTGTTATTATTCCTAATTTTCGTTCGTTTGAGGTGGTTCCGTTGATTTGGATGCGGCTATGGATGCAGGGTGCGGATTGGGGATTGCCTGCTCGATGCCAAGTCACGGAATGGGGAACGACAAACACGAGCTGGGATTGGCCGTTGCGTCTGCACCAGCTGCTACTATCACCCCGGTTCTCAGGTATGCTCGTGTTTTAACCAGCCCTCTGGATTCTGGAATTGCTCTTGTGTAACGAGATCTCTGTTTAGCCGTTCAGAGTTTGACTTTTGGTTTTAGAGTGTTGTATAATCAGTTTTGTGCTAATCTCAAGCAGAGTCCTAGACACATGTCTTAGTTTAGAGAGAATTCTGTGAGCTTCAGAAGTTCTGAAGCTGCACCAGTAGCAGTAGGTGCTGCTGATGAAAGCTTTGGTTTCACTGCCTCACTAGGTTCTCAGGACCACACTGCATTTTTCCAGTGAAACCTATTTGCTTTAGAAAACTGACAGTAAGCCAAAGGTATTTATTTGGTTCCTTCGATGAATTTTCGGCTTACTAGTTTGAACTGGTTCTGCTGCATTTTTGGATATAAAGTACATTATATATACTGGTTTGCTGAAACTTTCTTGAATTTTCTCTGAACATTATCTTTCTTGTAAATTGCCCTGCTGGTCAAAAGTTACTGCTCTGCCACTATAAGTTAGTCCAAATGACAGAACTCATCAATGGAGTACCTTTCGTCTGCTCTAGTCATCTGATCGTGTATGCTTCTGAACATAGTTGTGCCTTTCACTCCTGTGCTCTACTATTTTGTAAAACTCAAACACTTAGCGAAAGGCAGATCAACATATTTGTTGCTTATTAACTTTTGGGACTCCTTAACTAAATTTATGCACCTCAAGGTGGAAGATGATAAGCAAGTTTGTAGCGAACCTGTTACAGCTACCATGTTCTACCCTTTTGGCTTGTCAAAGTCATATTTTCCTCTTCAATACCATAATATTCTTGTTATTCTTTGATTTCCTTCCATCTGTTATGTGCTGTAACATTTCCATTATTGAGTTTTTCATTCATCAGCCACTATAATTTTTTTTTTTGTTTTGATATCATGATAACACCAAACACATCCTTATTTCTTTTGGCTGAAAAAAATATCCTTTTGCAATTCTTAATTCTGTCAGTCTCTTGCTTTAGTTAGGCTTGTGGGTGATGACACCTCACACCTCAAAGACTGTAAACTTGCTGAAATAATTCTTCATCATGCGAACTAGCTAAACTGCTCTTTTGATAGTCTTATTATTTTGCACCCTCAACTAGGTTATTGATGACTGTTGTTATGCATTCCTAAAGTTGAATTTGTACAATTTCTTGTCTCAGGAGCCGACAAATTTTGTGCAAGGCTGAAGCTAACGTATCTAGTAATCTTCCGGATAGCTTGCCTACTGGAGTAAGCCAGTATGAAAAAATTGTTGAGCTGCTCACCACTCTTTTCCCTGTCTGGGTATGTAGTACAAGAGCATCTGAAGGTTTTCTTTTCTTTTGCCTACTAGTGTACATTTATGCATGGTGGATATGACACAACTTTTTGTAAATCTACTAATACCCGAGATCACATATGGCAGGTTATACTAGGTACTATCATTGGCATCTACAAACCATCTATGGTAACAGTTCTACCACTTTCAATTGCTATTACTATCTGTGGAACCAACAGTTAACACCTTACCATTTTGTTGGGGTTTCATTGGACAACCCGCAGGTTACCTGGTTGGAGACCGACCTTTTTACTATGGGCTTAGGATTCCTAATGCTGTCGATGGGACTAACGTTGACATTTGAAGATTTTAGGAGATGCATGAGGAATCCATGGACAGTATGTTTCTGCACCTAGACACCTGTATTAATAAGAAAATAGTGATATTGTCTTTTCTGTATCCAACATCCTGTTAATTTATAAGTTATTATGTATGTTCTGCTGAATTGCTTCTTCGCAGGTTGGTGTGGGGTTTCTTGCGCAGTATTTGATCAAACCTATGCTTGGATTTTCTATTGCATTGGTAACTCTCCTATAGACACAAAAATATGTATAATGGTTGTTTATATTTTGAATGCTTTGTTGTAAACTGTATGAGACTTCAATGATTGTAGGTTATTGAAATTTTTTGATGGTAAATAATATATTCTGTGCATTGTTTTTTGAATCATGATTGTGTTGTATTGTTAGTTAAATGTTGGTTATGGTATAAAGTTTGATCACTGAGTGTACAGTTGGCCAACTGAAGTTGATCACTCCTTATAATGTGTTTTATTTCCCTTCACTTTATACTTAGATGAGCACATTTGTTGCTGGATTGAGGTTTACATCTGTCAACAATAAGTGTACAATGCTATGATCATGTTTACATCTAGGAGAAAGGTATCTGGCAATACTTATTTTTCTATTTTAATCAATCACAATTTTTTGTACCTTTGTTTTGAGATGCTGCTATGAGGGACTTTCTTTCTCTGCTATACAAGCTTATTTGAGAATTTTACATAAAGTTAGCAAAGATTAAATGAAAAAAATTGAAGAGACCTGGCAAGAAACTTACCTGCCAGCAGATTTGCCAGATATGAATGCCACCCGTTTTTTTCTCTCTCAAATATGCAGGAGAGCTGTGTATCATTGCATTAAGAAGAACCCAGTTTCTTTACTTCTTCGTTTTTTGCCTTTAATCTTCTATATTTTCTTCTTTGTAAGGTGGTCATACTGTCTCATTTGATCGGGGCATATTTTAATGTAACAAAGTTAGCCCATGTCTTCCACCACTTGCAGTAACATCTGTTTAGCTCTTCATAGTGTACATTTCACTAAAGTATCTCTACCAGACATTTCATTTTAATGCCTGCATTTATAAGCACATATTTTGGGTTCTTTATTTTGCAGGCCTTGAAGCTATCAGCTCCTCTTGCAACTGGTCTTATCTTGGTCTCATGTTGCCCTGGTGGACAAGCATCAAATGTTGCAACTTATATATCCAAGGGAAATGTTGCGCTTTCAGTTCTTATGACCACGTAAGCTTGATGTTTTGCTTGCAAAAGAAAGGAATTTGTTTGGTACTTATGTTAATCTCTTTGACATCCATACACCTGCATCTTTCCTGAGCTTCTCTATCCATTACTAAAGCTGTAGATACTTAGCATCCATATACATGTATCCTTTTTTTAAGAATATACACTGCATATCTTTGCCTTAAGAATAATAATAATTTTTAGAGTTCACAGTTGAGCCACCAGGGTTACTCGCACACATTTGAAATATTGACATCACGCACACGGTTACTCGTACACATTTGCTCATGCTATGGGATTATACACATCTATCCTGACACTGTTTCACTTTCTGTTGCACTTATCATTTTATTATTGTGCTATCTGTTTCCAGATGGAGCGTTTAATTGCAAAAGGTTTATACTATCACAATCACAATATTGATTTGGACAGTGCATTCCTGTTGCCAGTTGCTGTTGCTAGCTTTATGTTGTCAAGTTGATCTTATGCCAGATCTCTCTGTAACATCAGTCCCGCGAAGTAATGCCAACAATGCTCTGCTGTTGTCTGAATCAAAATTTGGATTTAGTTGAGGATTCCATGGTGAAATTTTGGAGTGAAAAAAACTTTTGGAATTAACATAGGCAATGTCAAGTTTAACTAGCTTCTAGTAATGAATCACTTACGAAGTTTATACCCTCTGTAGTATCTTCTCGAAAAACGCTGGAGAGCTGCGCATCATTATATTAAGAAGTGAAGAAAAGGGAAAGAACCCATACAACACACCCCAGGCCAGCCAAAAGGCATGCCCACACACTCACACCAACTCACACAAAACTCCCCCAAACTCTCTGATCCTTAGCATATAAGCGCGCCCGTGTCTGTTTAAAAGGGTGACCAACAGCCGCACTAGGATCTTAACTTTCTGACTGGGGGGGCAGTCAGGAGAGAAATTCCTTGAGCCCCAGCCAACGACCATAGTTTTCGCTCCTCTCCAGCAACGATCAGAGTTCTTGCAAAATCAGGGGCTGCTCCATCAAAAACACACCTGTTGTGATGAGTCCCATACAGTCCATGCTCCAAGAATTATGAGAGAATTGATTCCTTGCATTAGTAAGTCACTAGTAGCACTACTCTATCCCACCAATCTAGAAATGAGAGTTCAGTGGGCTGAGGGGAGAGGGATTGCAGACCAACTTGTGACAGGAAACGGAACCAGAACTCTCTTGTGAAGACACAACCAATGAGGAGATGATCAATGGTTTCGGCTGTTTGGTCACACAAAGGACAACGTTAAGGATGAGGGAGACCCAGGCGAGCCAAACGATCCGCTGTCCAACATCTATTATGAGCAACCAACCACATAAAGAAACGACATTTGGACGGTGCCCAAGTCTTCCAAATTTTTTCCCATGGCCCGAAAAGAATAGATCCCAAAAATAGGCCCTCATAAGCTGATTTAGCAGAATATTGACCATTTGAAGCAAGTCGCCATACATGTCTATCTTCCATTTCAGGCTGCAGCTCAAAGTCAGATAAGAGGTCCCATAGGAGGAGATATTCAGTGATGACCCCAACAGTGTGAGCTCCCCATATGTCAGAGATCCATGCACGGTTGGTGAGGGCTTCTTTCACCGTTCTCTTCTTGCGTCTCCTTACAGCAATGACAGCGAAGAGACGAGGTGCCACATCTGCGATGCATTGTCCATGGAGCCATCTGTCAGTCCAGAAAAGGGTTGTTGCTCCGTCCCCAACCTCTGAATAAATAGCCGCTGCAAAGAAGACCCTAACTTGCTCAGGTACATGTATTGGGAGGTCTGCCCATGGGCGATCAGGTTCTGTTTTTTGTAACCAGAGCCATCGCATTCGCTGGGCCCAGCCGAGGGACTTGAGATCAGCAATTCCTAACCCACCCAATGCAATAGGCCGACACACCTTGACCCAAGCAACCAGACAGTGACCTCCTTGTACATCCCTCGACCTTTCCTAAGAAATCCACGTCGAATTTTATCCACTGCTTTGATGGCCCATGGTGGAAAATCAATAGCCATGAAGACATAAATAAGCATGCCAGTGAGCACAAACTGTACCTGAACCTTTCTCCCAATTTTGGTCATCAGATTTGCTTTCCAGCCCGGAAGCTGATCAGCAATGCGGTCAATAATGGGCTGCACTTGCTCCTTAGAGAGTTTCTTCAAAGAGAGGGGCAAACCTAGATATTTGCATGGAAAACTTGCAAGTTCACATGGCAGCAGGTTCTGTACAGTTGCTAGCTCAGTTTCACCACATCTAATGGGTAAAACATTGCTTTTCTGTAAGTTTGTCTTGAGCCCTGTTGCCTCTCCAAACAGATCAAGAATGCCCATTGTTAAATTGATATCCCCAGCCTCTGGTCTAAGAAATAACACCACATCATCTGCATAAATAGAAATGCGGTGCTGCAAGGCCCTCCTTGACAGTGGCATCAGCAAGCCCTCAGTTTCGGCCTTTGAAATCATATGTCCTAATACATCCATGACCAAAATGAACAACATCGAGGGGAGAGGGTCGCCCTGTCGTAATCCACGCCGATGGATGATATGATCTCCAGGGATTCCATTTAATAGCACTTGGGTGGATGAAGAACAAAGCAGCCCACTGATTATATCCCGCCAAATTTGTCCAAAGCCTAGCTGCTGTAAATTTTCAAGGAGGAAAGGCCAAGCTACAGAATCAAATGCTTTTGAAATATCCAACTTGAGAAGAATACAAGCCTGTTTCTGTTGATTAAGAAATCTCGCTGTCTGCTGCACCAGCATGAAATTATCCTGTATAAAGCGTCCTTTAATGAAGGCGCTCTGAATGGGAGACACCATTTGTTGAAGCCGTGAAGCAAGACGATTAGATAGCATCTTTGTGATTAATTTGGCAAAGCTATGCACCAAGCTTATAGGTCTGAAATCTTTGGGCTGCTCAGCCCCTTCCCTCTTGGGGAGGAGTGTGATGTAAGCAGAATTGAGAACACCAAAGTTTGCAAGCTTCCTACTCCAAACTGCAGAGATGGCTGCCATGATGTCTTCTTTTATGATGGCCCAACAAGCTTTATAAAAGCGACCTGTGTACCCGTCCGGCCCAGGAGCCTTATCCGAAGGTAATTGCTTAACTGTCCTCCACACCTCTTCAGTGAAGGGAAGTTCCAGATCAGACAGATCATGTGCATTAATTCCCAATTCTGCCAAATTGATAGTGTACTCCCTTGCAGTGCAGTTTCCCAACACAGCTTCAAAGTATTCATCAATGACTGCAGCTTTTTCATCCTGGGTTGTACAGATTTTATCTCCTGACAATAGTTTCCCAATAAATTTCTTCCTCTTCCGGTGTCTGGCGTGAAGGTGGAATAAATGTGTATTAGCATCCCCATCCTTGAGCCAGCTGATCCTTGACCGAGATCGAGCCATTGTACGCTTGAGGGATGCAAGGGCTAAGCTGTGTTTCTTCAGATTGTTTTTAAGCCATAATTCTTCTTGTGAAAGTTGGCGGCTGTCTTGAGAATTTCAAATTGATGGAGAATTTCTCTTGCCAAAGCAAGCTGAGTTGTAATCCGGCCAACCCCTTTTTCTCTCCAGCTTTGTAGACTCTTGGTGACAGCTTTGAACTTCATATCTAGAGATATGAAAGGACATGGGCCAGGAGGAACAGAAGACCAAGCAGAAGCGACAGTCTCATGAAAACCATCAAGTTTGGGCCAAAAAGACTCAAAGTGAAACCTGCGTTTTCCTGGTTTATTGTCTTGAAGACCAAGCAGCAAAGGGCAGTGATCAGAATCATCAGAAGCCATGCTCTGAAGTAGACAATTGGGGAATCTATCCTCCCAATCCACTGTACACAGCACTCTGTCTAATTTCACCAGGGTTGGAGAGTCCTGTTGGTTTGACCATGTGTATTTGCGACCATGCAAGGGTAGCTCTTTGAGGGCCAGATCGTTAATTAGTCTCCTAAAACGTCCCATCATTGCCCTATTCAAATTATAATTGTTCTTATCCTTGTCCTTGTAGATTAAATTAAAATCTCCTGTCACCATCCAAGGCCCTGGGCATGCTGCATGAATATCACGTAGCTCTTGTAAAAATAAAATCTTTTCATCATTCCCTTGAGGTCCATAGACACAAGTCAACCACCATGTTTGTCCACTCTCCTGAGAAAACTGAACTGAGACACTGTGGTTGTCTCCTCGCCAAACTCCTGATACTCTGATGTGTCGTCTCCAGGATACCAGGATTCCCCCAGTTGCTCCAACTGATGGGGACGCCACGAAATCTGAGAAATCTGAACCTAGAGCAGATAGGAGGACTCTTTGAGACATATCTGAGATTTTTGTCTCCTGGATACAAACGATGTCAGCCCGAGAAGTATCCACAAAAGTGCGCACCGAGTCTTGTCTCGCGGTGGAATTTAAACCCCTCACGTTCCAAATTAAAATTTTGCCAGGTTCCATTGACTGAAGATGTAAAATCGACCAACAAAGAAAGAAACACAACAACCAGAGCACTAATAGGCTAACTTAACAATTCCTCATCAGCCCCCTGTCCAAAATCATCAGGCAAGGACCAGTTGAACAGGGCTGTCAAGGCCTGCAGATGTGAATCAGACAGCTTGTGCCCAAATAATTTCGCATATTCATCCTGGGCATCATAGCAGAAGATGTTTGTCTAATCTTTTTCTGTAGAATTTGATTAGCAGGCCATTGACTGTTGCATGTAGTATTTCTGATCTCACCTTATTGTTCTGTTATGCTACTTAGGTTTTGATTTAGTGATATTCTTTTGATGCTATTTATGCTTCCTTCAGCCTACTTCTCTATTGCATTCTAACATTCTCCCTGTGCATGTTATAGTTGTTCAACTATTGGTGCTATAGTGATGACGCCCCTCCTGACTAAACTCCTTGCTGGTCAACTAGTTCCTGTTGATGCAGCAGTAAGGACGCTACAATCCTGTTCCAATTTGTTTCCTTAATTATGTCTGCCTGAGTTAAAAGGATATTTTGTGTACGCAGGGATTGGCCATCAGTACTTTCCAGGTTGTTTTGGTGCCGACTGTTGTTGGAGGTGCTTAAAAAGCTTAATGGGAGATTAATTTACTGACTTTCAGTGTCTTAGAAATATTTTATGACAGCTGGTGTGACTATTTCTTTCACTATGCAGTATTGGCCCATGAATATTTTCCTAAATTTACTGAGCGCATTATCACTGTAACACCCCTGTTTGGTGTCCTCCTCACCACTTTGCTTTGCGCGAGCCCTGTAAGTCTTATAAAGAACTTTCCTGAGTAAGATTCAAACCTTTGTATAACTGTTTGTTAGTAATTCAAAATCATTTTTTATATATTTCATGAAAACCAAAATCCACTTTTGTTGAGTTAAAGAAAATGCAATAACCCATTCTAACCTAAACATGGTCAGGTGTCCTTATTTTTTCTTAAATAGTAATGCGAATAGGTATATCCTATTCCCTTATACTCCCTTCGTTCAAATTGTAAGTCGTTTTAGTTTTGTCCTAAGTCAAACTTGTCTAGCTTTGACCAAGTTGATAGAAAAATATATTAACATCTACAATATCAATAAATGTACTATCAAAATATATGTCATGTATATAATGAATCTTGTTTGATGTTGCAGATGTTTGTGCATTTTTCTATAAACTTGGTCAAAGCTAAAGAAGTTTTACTTAGGACAAAGCTAGAATGACTTACAGTTTAAGCGAATGGAGTATATTAGTAAATAGTTGCTCCTCATAATGATATTTTGAATAGTATGCATGGGATACTATTTTTTTCTCTAGTTTTGATTCAAAACTGAACTTTTGCAAGATTGGACAAGTCGCAGAAGTGTTGAAAACTCAAGGTGGTCAACTTTTTATCCCTGTTGCTCTGCTTCATGTTGCTGCATTTGCTCTTGGGTACTGGTTATCGAGATTATCTACCTTTGGGGAATCAACCTCTAGGACCATCTCAATTGAATGTGGGATGCAGGTAAAGATATGTTGATATGCTCAGGTTCAATCTGTTCTCATCTAGGCATAGAAATTTGTAGCACCGTTAAAAGCTAGATGGTTCTTATTCGTTGTTTGGGATTGTTATTAGATAGTTATATGGACAAGTAAAGAATCAATTTGATCAATTATTTGTATAAATTATTCTGCTGGTATGGTTTGTTATGTATTATGTAGGTTGCTTAAACACCAATATTTATACCATTATTTTGCTGCCTAATCGCTCAAACATGTTATCTGTCAATTGGTTGATGATGTGTAGACGGCCTCTTGATGAATCTGTTTAGTTTTCCGCTATTGATATAAAATAAAATGAGATTGACTTTTGCAATTCATACTCTGTTCTATTGAATGAAGTTGTTAGACACTGAGCCTCGCTGATTGTACTAGCAGTTTGGTTCACAAAGCATCAAAACGTGTTTACCTGGATGACTACCCTTCAGTTACCCTTGCCTAGAGCAATGTGCATTTTCATACGTTTAGTGCTTACCAATCTCACCTTTTTTTCTGGCAGAGTTCTGCACTTGGATTTTTACTTGCTCAAAAGCATTTCACAAATCCACTCGTTGCTATTCCTTCAGCTGTCAGCGTTGTGTGCATGGCTGTGAGTTTTCTAGTTCCCCTCTCTAATCCCTGCACTCATTCATTTGCATTCAACACTAAATTTTTGTTTGGGTGGCGTAAATGAAATATATTTATCAAAGGTCTTCTATTTTATTTTTTCCATGACAGCTTGGAGGGAGTGCACTTGCAGTTTACTGGAGAAACAAAGGGCTTCCAGCGAATGACAAAGATGATTTCAAGGAGTAAAGAAACTCGACACATGAGCTCCTAGCTATTAGAGTGCAGTTACATCAGAAGGATTCATGTTCCAATACTTTAGGCATAGATAGGAAGGCATATTCTATTGTTGATTATCATTAGGGGTTCCGCTTTGCCTATGTTTGGTGTGTACTATAGTATTTCATATTATCTCCGTTCACAAATAAATCAATTTCTAGAGTTCTACAATGAATAAATCAATTTCGTTCTAAGTCAAACTTTTTTATGTTTAACCAAATTTATTAAAAAAAGTATAAATATTTGTGATACCAAATAAACATATTATGAAAATATAGTATGATGTATCCAATGATACTAATTTAGTGTCACAAGTCTTGACGCTCTTTTTCTATAAATTCAATTAAACTTAAAAAAGTTTAGAAATAAGCTGCTTCCGAGCAGAGCAGTCAAAAGAAGTTTGTTGACCCTCTGGTGGTCGTCTATTTACGATGCAGGCGTGAGTAATTAATATTTCAAAGAAAGTGATCTGTTTGTTTAGAGTTGTTGTAAGTCAATTTTTAGAGTTGTCCTAAGTCAAACTATTTGTAGAATTTTGATTATATTTATTATTGTTTGTGTGGATTTTATCGCTACTCCCCCTGTTCTAAATAAATAACTTTTTAGAGCACTCAGCGTTGTAAAAAGAAAACTCTTTTTTTTAAGAAGAGAGGAGCCTCGATTTTGCACGTTGCAACATACCATGACCGGAACAAATATGAGCATCGAGGTCTCTGATTGCATCGATGCCACGAGGTAAAATTTGTTTTTTGTGTGTCTCCGCTGTAGCACTCACGTACTACGCCTTGAAGGATTTCTTATCATTATTATTTTTTAATTCTTATATGGCTCACTTTGTCGATCGATGCCTGGATTGCCTAAGTTGCAGCCTGCATGGCTTAAAATCCAACGTGACTGGTGTGACCTGTGGGGTTCGTTTGTTTTCTAACTCAGTGCCTTGTGCCCGTGCTGCGGCTGCTCTTAGAACATCTTCAAAGGTTTTTCTTAAATTTATTGTCTAAAACCTCAGTTAAAGACTCATTTAAATAAAGACCATTATTTATATCTTTTCACCCTCCAACAGTTTCTCTATATATTATGTGTATTTTGGAGACTCATTTTCGCTCTTTATTTTTGGCTAGTGAGAAATCCAGAACCGAGGATGTCATTATCTGGAGATCTAATTGAAGAAGTTGTTTGAGAACTTTTCTTTCACCAAAATCTCTATTCCTATAAATATGCAATTATATATAAAGAAGCTCTAGGAGTTGCTCTTAGAGGAAACTAGTTAAAACTACTTAAGTTGTTCTAAGTCAAATTATTTTAAAATTTGACTATATTTACTAAAAACACCAATATCTATGACACCAAATTAGTATCATTTAAATACAATATATTTTCTTATTAGATTTATTTGGTTCATAGACGATGTTACTTTTTTTTCTATATCAACCTATGGTAGTTTAACTAATTTTATAAAGAAGAGTAACAACTATAACACTAAATAAATATGCTATAAAAAACTCGGTCTGCGAGGAAAAATCCGGCCCCGAGGATTGCACTTTAAGGTCAATCTTAAGGGGGTTTCAAAGGAGTTTCATTCTCATTTAATACAATGACACATCAATAAATTTGCCGACTTAGCAGCTTATTTATGAAGAAAAAGATAAACTTGTTGTCACACTTACCAATACAAAAGCTGATGTGGCAATCTTGGTATTGCCTAAGGTAAAAAGACCCCTCACGCACCCCGTATCCCGCCATTACATAGCGACACCGTCCCGGTGTGAGTGGGCTGGTCTTAAGACCTATGCTTTGGAACGCAGGACAAGCGAGTGGATTTTTGTAAACCTCTGGCCGGCATTCATCCCGGTGGGGGATCGAACCCTGCACACGAGGGTGCTACTAGTACTCTAGTGCGTCTTGACCAGCCGGTCTAGGCAATGTTCACAAATAAATTATAAATACACTATAAAAATAACTTTTATAATATATCTGATAATACTAATTGGATATCTTGAATACTTATGCTCTTTCTCTATAAATTAGGTCCAACTTAATATACTTCGACTTAGGACAACTTTATAAGTTATTTTGGAATGAAGGGGGGATTTAAAAAAACATTTCAAGTTCGTAATAATCCAAACTATCGTGCGAAGTCCATCTATTAAGGTCGCCTTGCGTTCCAGTAAGTAGGCCAAATTAAACACCGGCAACGCATGGACGTGATTATTACTTGTATTGGCTGGCGCGGCCGGGCGGACATGATCACTAGTACAGTACTCCCTCCGTCCAAAAAAATGCAATTCTAGAACAGTGTCACGTTTTAAACGTTTTAGTATATCAAGTTTAATCAATTATAGATAAAAAAATATAATTATTTATAATATAAAATAAATATCATTAGATTAATTACGAAATGTATTTTAATAATAAATTGATTTGAAGTTATAATTATGAATATTATTTACTAAACGTGAATCACTTTGATTGATACGCAACTCGTAGTTGCGTCCCTTTAGGCGACACAGGTAGTACCGGTTAACGTCAATACCGTGGGTAGGTAAAACTCAGGACTGGTACGTTTCCTCTGCAGCGTCAGCACGGGTCCTGCGTGCTGCGTTGCATTGCGTCTGCCCTCCTGAGACGGACCCCCAGTCCTCAGCTCATACTCCTACAGTTCTACCGCTCAAGCACACGCATGCATTGAATAGAGCGACAGCGTGGTGACGCACATACCACCAGCCCATGAGGTCACCGGGCAACTGCACTGTACTGTGCACAACGTGCATGCCTGAGGGTCACCGGCGGGTACTGTGCAAAATATATACTAGTATTTCATTTCAGCCCTCGTTTAGTTCGGCGCGGAATCGGCGCCGTCGGAGTTACTGTAGCCACAGTAGCTACTGTAGCGTTTCGTTTGTATTTGGTAATAATTGTCCAAACGTTGACTAATTAGGCTCAAAACGTTCGTCTCGTAAAGTACAACCAAACTGTGCAATTAGTTTTTGATTTCGTCAACATTTAGTACTCCATGCATGTACCACAAGTTTGATGTGACGGGAAATCTTCTTTTTGCATAGTGCCAAATTCTGAAAATTGGGGAAACTAAACAGGCCCTCAGTTGCAGCGCTGACACGATCACGTAGGAGTACGTACTGGTACTGGTAGTAGCACGCAGGCCGCTGCCCGCCGGTAGTACGCGGTACCTAGGAGTAGGCATATACTATCGGCATCCGTCAATCCGCTGGATCGGCAGGAGGGGAATGACCATCGGTAGTAGCCCGGGCGGCCGGAGATGCAGACCACACCACACGCGACATTAGACTGTCTCCAACACGCAGAGGCAAACCCAAAATACGTCCTACACAGTACTTTTGCCTACCCAAAACATTCTTCAACTGGTGACCCAAACACGTTACCCATTTTGCCTACGAGCCCAAATGAAACGCAAAAAAACATCGCATTTCTCCTCGCTACGCAAATCTCCGATGTGGCCCGCCCGCGCACGCCTCCGCGTCGGAGGAAGCCCAGGCGCCGGCGCCCTCCTCCTCCTCCCTCTCCCCTCCGAGGCCTGACCCCGTGACTCACCCACAGACGCCCGCTGGCGTCGGAGGAAGCCCAGTGCGGCGCCTCCTCCTCCTCCTCCCTCCAGGCTCGACCCCGACCACTCACCAGCGAGGGCACGCCAGGCGCGCTGTGCATGCCCACCGCCGCCCGCCCGCGTCGGCGCCGCTGAGCTCTGGCTGATGATGCCTGCCATGGCCACCCTGCGCCCGGGCTCGGCCGGATCTGAGGCCCCACGGCGCCCAGCCCCTTCCTGCCCGCCCGGCGCTAAGGAGGCTCCGCGGCCTCCACCTTCGCCGCCACCGAAGACGGGGGCTACCGTCGCAGCCGCGCCCTCCAGATCCGAAGCTGGGGCGCGGAGGGATGAGGACCAGGGGCCGCCGGCGTGGTTCGCCGCCCTGGTTGCCATCGGGATGGGCCTTCCCTGTTGCGTCGCTGTTGGAGAGGGCTGGTGCGTGACCTTTTCCTGGTGCATGACCCAAAACCGGGAATGGGTGTCGTGTTTAGGTCTCCTTATTGGAGACAGTCTTAGGCTATCTCCGACAGCACAGAGCCAAAATAGAGACCCATTTCATAATTTAGGTCATGCACAGTAAAAGAGTCACACACCCAGAACATGTCTTCTCCAACAGCCTATGCAAAAGTCCTCGCCCTGCCCCGCTCCTCGCTCCCTGCCTCGCCCTGCCCCGCTCCTCGCCGCGACGGTGGCTCCCCGCCGCAGTCCCGCCTGGCGCTGCACTCTGACGCAAATAGCAAACAAACACAGACTGACAGAAACACGGAACCGAAGAAGAACGCAGACGACGGGGCTGCTCACCGTGTGCGAACTCCGGGGAACACAGAAGGCGTGGCCTACCGAGGCTTCGGACAAGGAGCGCTCGGCTCTGTGCCCACCTGTGCCGCTCGGCAACTGGAGCCAAACGCCGAAGTGCTTCAACAGAAGCCCAACACAACCCGAACGAAGAACAGAGAAAGGCCGAGCGTTACGAACAACAGCTCGCCTACAAGAAAATCGACTGGATCTCCATCAAATCAAAACGATTTGCTCCCAACCTTTGCACAGATGAAATTCAGCTTAGCACGAACCTATTCCCCAAAAATCATTGTCTGGGATTAATCCAAGCTCCGGGAAACTCAAATTAAGACCAAGAACACGAGTTTTTCCCAAAATGAAAATCGGCTTGGATCTTGATGCACAAGTGGAATTAGCTCAAATCACTTGGGGATCTTGTTCCTCACTCGATAAAGCATCAATCTGTCCAAGCAAAATCCAAAGAAAAACTCGAATCCATCAAGAACAAGAGAGGGAAGCACTGAAACCAAGGACTCGGGCACGAAACAGCTCAGACTAAAAAATCGAACCCCAGAGGCCAACGTGAGGAAGGGGCATCACTTCCCAACACAAATCACCAGTTGAGTACACA